GGGCCCTGTTTCCTTTGTCTGAGTTCGGAGACCCCGGCCACGCATATAAACCATACGGCTCTGATTTCGGAGTCCCCGGCTGGTAGTGGTTAAAATTGCCAACAATTCTGAAAGACATAGTTTACCCATTGGAGTGTCTTGTCGTGGGCTGCTACTTTCTGATGTGCTGTCAACATTGTTATCATCTGCTTGCCCTGACAACGCAACCATCTCCATGGCTTTCTCCATCTCAGCTTCACAATCCTGGATTTACAGCGTAAGAAAAAAGTTGACAGCCATAAATGAAACAGGTACATGCCTGTAAGGATGTTTCACACTGTGAATTTTACTGTGCACTTGCTGATGTTTTCAGTACAAAGCCCTTTCCATTTGATTAATCAGGGGTGCCGGATTTCCATGATTACTTTGGTCTGTTAACGTACCGCAAGTGTAACGTAAACCTTAGAGACATTAACTCTACTGGCATTACACATAGTTCAGTAAATTCTTCTGCACAGCCGCAGTAGTTTTATCCAAAGTCCAAAGGCAGCACGGCTTCAGTGAAAGCTGGTCACCCCCAATGATTCTGTTTGTCTGCGTACCACTTTTGAAAAGCCTAAATCCCAGGTGAGGTATGGCTGTGACATCTACGGAGAATGCTCATGACGCCATTGTGAGGAGTATTTGAAATAATTGACTTGACTCTGCCTCTGCCAAAGACTGCAAAGTAGGTCACAACCCTATGCATAATTACATGTTAAACGTAATTTGCATCCACAATATGTAAAAAAGTAATTTTTTTCCAAACAGAGATTTTAAGTCCTAAAGACTGATGTCTCACTTTTCAATTTATCCACATACATGTCAACAGACTAATGTTCACTACCTGCCAGTGAGTAAATATCCTGAAATGGATTTTTAGAAGCAATCTGCACAATACCTGTTCATTCAGGTGTCTTGCGACCTTCAACTGAACCGGGCCAGGTTGGATGTTACCAAACACTTTGTACGCCCCCTGTAGTTTGACATTGCGTAGGTCCTCACCGTTTACCTCCAGCAACTGAGATCCACGGCTGTTTAAAAACAGGCAGAAAATAAACACCCCCCTCAAGACAAATTTCAGATATGTAAAAATTTCCATATAAATTAAATGTTAACAATGATTTCTCCACAGCACCTGTGGACAACACTTGCTCAGATGGGAATAAAATGCAAACAGGTGCAACTTGAATGGGATTTTGCCATGGCAAAGGTCATTTTTTTTTTTTACATTTTAAACTGACTTAATTAAACACATTCGTTAGTGGTTTGAAATTGCCATATTATAATTACATTATCAGCAGCTGGTTAATGCAGACTCCACCGTGCCTATTTGCAATAATTTCTGTATGTATATCCTAAACGCCATCTCTTTCCTAATTTTTCTTTACAATTGACCTTTCATTGCACTACTGATATTGTAATAATCGTAATTTTGAATGGTATTCGCTTTCCTGAAACTGGATAGGGCATGATACGCAGACACACCCAATCTGACTCATCACAGGGTCTCCACAGACTTTGCAGTTTTCAAAATGAATAGGGAATGCTCACAAATCCAGAATATACACTTTTGTCTTGCACCAAATCTGTTCATTTCCAGAGGTTCTGAGTTCAAGTAGAGACTGTCTGGATCCTACACTTACCTGCAGCGGCATAAACCTGTGCAAGCTAGTTACAGGACCTAAAGTTAATCTGCTTAGGAAATTTGAAAGCAGGGGGGGGATGGAGTCTGTATTGAACTGGAAGATACCCTGGTTCTCTTCGAACACAAGGATTATTGTTTATGATAAAGATTTTCATGTGTCTTTTAACATGCCTCATCTTACATTAAGTTTTATATTGTTTTCTCCACTTTTTAAATCCTTAAACAGTGCATTTTGGCCTGTGGGAAAGTTCAGAAACAATCCCTAAATTTGCAAAAAGTGTTTCACTCAGTCCTTCCAAAAACCACCTTATCTGGCCAGTGCATGTCAGGCGATGTGACAGGCACAATTACAGATAAGAGAGACAAGCCAAAAATTATTATGCAGACCCCATTTCCTGTCCTAAACTTGGCTGCCTCCCCTACAACATCCCCTTAGGCGCCCCTCCCATGTCAAACCTCACCAATGCCTAAGCCTTAATTCATTCCCCCAAGACTTCAAGGATCTCAGTGAATCAGTCACGGGTACCTGGCACTACACTGGGCCCCAACCCTTGTATGCGCATGGATACCCTGAAGCTACATTGGTTCCACACCCAAATAAGTGTCCAGCCCTGAAGTCTGAATTCCCCAGTTGCCTTTCATGCAACTTTGTAGTAACCATGTTCTGCAACTACTGTATACCCCATTACACATTACTTACAAACTAGCCAAACAAAATATTAAGACAGTGAGAGTTTGTCTGTTTCCCTTTTGTTACTGTTGAAAACCACAGGGGGCCCTCTTCGAGTGAACCCATCAAGCCCTTTCACTATTCACCAACCACTATGCAACATCATATGCTAGATATGATTTGCAATTGCTGCAAAACACTGAGCATTTGAGTAAGGTTGCATGACTTTTGAATTTAGTCTGCAATGGTGAACAGAAGATATTTGGTGTGGTTGAAAGACTCATGGGATTGTCTAGTTTTAATATTTCAAGAGCCTTTAAGGACACGAAGTGAAAACTCGACAAAGCTCTCAGGAAATGAGATGTTTGAGGTATGAGGAAAGCTAACGCCTTAAGTTCCTTGCATTTTATTGTTAAATGATAAGATCCTCTTAACTTTCAATCTTTGTCGATATTTCAGGCCATCAGAGTCCCTTTAATTTTTGTTCATCCTTACAAGGATTACATACTTAGAGGAAATGTCCCATTTCAGGACAATGGTTCTAGTCCACAGGATCCGCTATTGGCACTGTCTTGCTGGAGGCTGTTTGTCTCTGCTAATTGGATAGCTGGACAGAAATAACTGACAGGTCATAGAACAAGACTTGTGCCAACTTGTGCAATGTGCTACACAATCTGGTGGCAGGCCAGTGGGCACATTTGCAGGAACCAGCCTACCAAATTTTAATGACCTCTTGAAACTTTTTCAGCATTTACAAAAGACTTATTTGACAGATTTTCGAGGCAGCCTATGAAAAAGTGGGGCAATTTAACTGACAAAATTCCTCAGCAAAAATTACTCGAACAATTGTGTGATGTAGATCACCCCCCCCAAACTGGTGTCAGGTCAAATTTTCAGAGAGCAGGTCATGAGTAAAATACCTAGGTGTTTTATAATTGCAAATGTAACAGTTGAGCTAGATTCACCAAATAACCAACTTACAGGAAAATACAAAGTGCTTGATGTCGCGGGTGGTAACTTGCTTCAGCTTAACAATTCTTTCCTGTACTTAATGAACTTCTCTGCTAAACAGTTCCTTGAAAATGGCAGCCAGCCTGAAACCGAGTCTGCTTACCACAGTCGGCCGTCTTTCTTGGCCGGTGAGGTCTCCTCAAGGTGCTGGACATAGACCCTCCTTTCATTGTTGGCATCAGGCTCCGGCAGACATACAACGCCGATGCCAAGACTCACTCCTTGCTCTGGTCACATGGAAATTATTATAAGAACATTAAAAATCAAATAAAGATTTGTCCACTCCAAGAAATATTTTCCAAGCTTTTAACACGACAACTTAATGGGTGAACGTGTTCACCTGAGTTAAATATTGCTTTTCTACCTTTCATTACTTCTGACAAACACTTGCACTTTTCAGTGTTGCATTTTCTACAATTGCACCACGCTTATGGAACTCACTCCCGGATCATCTACGACAAGAACATGACATCAAGCAATTTCAGCATCATCAAAACATTCTTCTTCTCACAAGCTTTTTCACTTTGAATGCACAATTGAGTTTTTCATTTTTCCACCTAGACCGGCGCCTCTGAATGCTTTGCAGATATAGTGCACCTTATAAATGCTTTATTATTATTATTATTATTAAACGTTAAAGATCCTTTTGTGTACTTCCACACCTCAAAAAGGGTGAGCTGACATTACCTTTGTGCAGTACAATCTCTTTGGTCACCTTGACACTGGGGACCTCCTTGATGATAGAAGCACGGTCTGGGGAGGAGCTGGAGGAGGCTGGGGAGTATTGCCTGTCCGCATCTTTGAAGCTACCCTCAGCTCGAGACCTTTTCCTGGGAGCAGAGAGAGGTCAGGACAGATATCAATAACCAGAGTCTACAGTTCTTGTTGGCATAATACGACCATGGTTCCCACAGTAATCTGAAAACCATATTACATGCCTTTTACGGGACTACAACATGACAATTTCCAGAGCAAAGTTTGACATTATTTTGCAGAGAAAGGTTGTTCCCTGTTACGAACTGGAAGATTGCCACAGCCACTACCGTAGACTGACAAGGATTGACATTCATCAGAATGTGTACAAATTCACTGAATAATTACTTGGGCACTACAGCCCCAGCGATACTTGACGGCTTGCTCATTTCTCTCACTTTTTGACCTTGACGGAGCGTGTTGTGTAGAAGGTACAGAGTCTGAGCTTTCACCTGGCGTCATCCGCTTCAAATAAATCGATTCGCATCCATTCACTACAGGAAGGCTCAATGTTAATGGAGGGGGCCCTGCCCAGCAAAATGACTCACAAGTTGCCTGAATTATGTCAGAGTTACGGGCACTGAAACAATCTTTTGCCCAGGTTTTGTCCGCATTTTCATCCAGATAATGGGTGTTAGGAAAGAGAATGCCAAACCTAGCTATATGTGAACACAAACAACTGACAATGCTCTTAGCACATAGAAAAAAAAATTTCAAATTTATAGTGTACTCATTTTGAGGGATCTGATTGCACACATGACTAAACATCGTAAACATCTCCAATAGCAGACAAAAGATTTTATTTTTTTGTTTTCCTTAATTTTAGGTCTGCAAATTTGACACATCCATGCCTTTTTTGACAAACTCAATATCCAAGAACAGTGTACATACATGTACCCTCTTACTTCACAAAAGCCAATTTTTACGTGGGCGGGTACCTTTAACATCTACACCAAGGATAATGCGCTAGAGAGGGGATCTCTTTTTTATAGGCAGGGTAACAGTGGGAAATCATGAATTAGCCTAATGCAGGAAGGGTGCTAATGTGGTGGGGGGAAAGAGAAGGGTGTCTTTTCCGGTGGTGTCAGAGATAGGAAAAGCTTATCCCTTTACCTTCTGGGCGGGGCCACTGGGCTACCTGTGGGTGTGGCAGTCTTCCCAACGAGTCGGCTTCTTACTGTCAGTGTTACGATGCCTTTCTTGATTTGCTATTAATAGAATATTCCAAGAATTCAGTGAATGATGTAACGGTTAAAGCTTGGGATGCTTTCTTCGTTTGTGCACAGATGTAAATTTGACGCGACAGTTGGACTGCAAAAGAAAAAAAATAATCAGAATGATTTCGAACACTGGAAATTCAAAGAAAAAAGAGGGCTGGAAAATTGGAAATCTTCATGATATAAATCTGTGACCATTTTGATAGGTCTGCAAGGTCTCACATTTGAGACCTGGAGCTCCCCACTGGCTTCCACAGTCAGTACATGCAATGGCCAGTCATCGTTATTAACTTGCTGTCATGTCAAATCACCATTGACAAAACAATAGATGCAGTGAGATGTGCTGACAACTTTGTCTCAGACAGTAATTGAAGAACCAGTGGCCTGAACTGCCCTGTATGCAGAGACACCCTTCTGATTACATAACACTGAGAGAGCATCAATTAGAGACGCTGTTCCTTACAGGGTACCTGCGAATTGATTGGGATTGTCAACGCAGAGCAGATTCATGCAGGGGCATAAATCATCGATGTATGATATTGACAACAGACACATCTACATGCATAAAAATGCTTATTAAAGTGAAACGATGACTCTGTCTAGAACACAAATGAAGTGAAAACCTTTAGCTTTTACCTATGTCCGCCAGAGTCAACACTTCTGTTTGAAACCCAACAGTTCCTTGTAAATGGCCTGCAAAGTGCTAAGTCCTGTTGTTGTTTACATTCAAATATCGAGAGGGAATGATATTCCATACGGCCATATACATGACACACGTCCAGCACTCCAATAACACATATAAGCCGTCCATTTCAATGACCGAAAGCATTTTAGTACTTTACAACCTAGAAAAATAGAATGTATGGCCTTTGCATATGGTCTTTTTTAATGGGGCCAAGGTTAAAAACAAATATTAATATAACTTTTACCACCTAAGGATGCTGCAAGTCGGAATGAATGACATGGTTGTCGTATTTTGAGTGAAATTCTGTTTTAAAAGCAACAAACACAAAGAGGAAGAGTTCCATCGCAAGAAACCTTCCAAGGGGAACGTGGGTGTGGATGCCTTTTCAAGTAACTTTCCAATTCGACGTGACAGCAAAGAGTGGGGGGCAACTCCTTGTTATTGCAGTTAGTCATGCCAGACGAGTGTGCTCTGCTTCACAACATCTACAAGGCCATTTGGTCAATTGGCCCATGTCTGAGAGCTGAGAATTCACCCAGAATCTCTCTGGAAAATGCTTTCTTGAAGTTCTGCTAAAAACAAACCGGGAGATACGGACAGGCTTGACTTTTAAGTCCTTTGCATTATGGTTTCGACAGGGGGAAAGGGAGGAGGGTTCAGTCTCAGAAAACCCAGCCAGCAGTCGTACCTGGCTGCCCCAAACAAGGCACTTCCTTCACGGGGCTCAGTTTTGTTACATCCTGTGTTGTGTTGCCATGGCAACTAAACAACCAAACACGATGATGTGACTGAACTTCTCTGCAACTGCCGAGAGGTGAGATGATTCAGAGACTGAAGAGCGCATAAGAGACTCTAAAAATTGATAATACTAGGATTAAAAAAAATTTAGCCAGGAACTCCAAAGGCAGCGCTCTTGCTGGAACCTGAAACCGAAGTAACTATGACAAAGCTTCAGAAGTGGCCGGAATCACTTTCAGCTCATGTGAAAAATGGTCATGGTATTATAACGCTTGACCATCTCAGATAACACAATGTGAAGAACTTCTGTTCGCTGAGATGGAAACTACGTAATTTAACAAAATAATAACAAAACAAAGGACCTTTTATAGCAAGACATACCTTGAACTTGTTGATTGCTTGCTTATGGGTCATTCCTTCCAGGGAGTCTGCATTCACGGCCAAGATTTCATCTCCTATCACAACATTAAACAATGAAATAGTTACTACAATGTACACAATCGTGTGCAAAGTTCTCTGACAGAATTCACCTCTGCGAGAGAAACTTTGAGAGACATTCAAGATCTCCAATTTTTGACCAAAGACTTGATTAAGAGGACCAGAGCAATTGGTTGTTCCCAGTAACGAATTAACACCGTTGTCCATTCATAAATTGCTTTCCTTAGGTACTGTCAATGAGAACACTAACATGTCAAGTCTGGTTCTAGACATTAAGTCTTGAATGTTGTTGAAACTTGAAAGAAAATTAGATAAGAGGTTAGTGGTACCATGGTGCTACTGATATTTTGAGAAGGGGGTTATGTGAGGGAAGGGGTAGATTCCACACTCTTGCTTCTTCATGAGTAAACAAAATCGACAACAGCAGGAGAAAAATATCCGGCAAACTAACCTTCCTTGAGTCTGTTATCTGCCGCAGCAGCACCTGTTGGGAAGACAGTCTTGACAAAGATCCCCATCTTGCCTTTGGCTGAGTCCTCACCACCCACAATGCTGAAGCCCAACCCCTTCCCATACGCCCCCTTGATGAGAGCGATCTGCTGCACCACAGTGGGGCTAGCGGACACCTGGCCAGTCAGGTGTTTGGGCAGCTTGGGACTGTCAATCCTTGCAGGCTGCAGGTCAAATGGAAAAAAAAACACACAAAGAAGCTAGGAGTAAATATCCATTATTCAGACTACATTTTTGTATTTGCTTTTTACCGCAAGTTATGGCCACTCAACTGCCAAAAACATTCTGAAAACTGAGTAGAAGGGAAGATTCAGGAAGTCTAGTGCAACTGAGGTTTACTTCACTAATTACCGGTACTTCAGAATCTCACAAAAAGTCACTTTGGAGTGTACTGTGTGTTTCATCTCAGCTGGGTGATTGAATCATTATGACAGTGATCCTGAGCAATTTCATGTACATGTACCTGAAATTCCTCATTTCAAGAATACAAACAGGTACATGTTTGCTCCACATGTCCTTTCTCTAGTGGGGGGTGCAAGGGTACTTATCACATCTGGCAAAGATCAACCGTGTAATTGAGGGTAAGACATAACTTTCATGGGATGAACAATGTCAGGAAGTCATCCAGTATTTTCTGTCCATCAAGGCAACCAAAAACAACTGCTCACACACACATGAAACTCGTGGCCTGGTATAAACATAAGATCCCAAATTCAAGAGACTCTACAAACCAGCCTGATCAGAATTCCTTGCACTATCACACCATGAACCTCTCACACGTAAGAAAACCATTTTAACTTTGAGGAGGAGGTAGGGGAAGACAATTTCTTTCCCCTTTAACTCTGCAGTCCACTGCTACTTCTCTCGCAGTCATTGATTGATACAATATCTCACTTTAGACACAAAATGGAGGGGGAAGAGATCCTGTGGGTCTCCTGCTCCCAATTTCTTTCACAATTTGTGTCTGACTGCATTTCCTTCTCAAGCAGCCTTGCCTGCTAGACAGAATATTCTTGTAAGGATGAAAGTCAAAGGGTCAGCTTCCTCCAAACACTATGGTTTCTGGTGAGTTGATAAGTCACCATTGTCATCACAAATATCAATTTGGCCCCCATATGTTGATATACCCTTCATTCACAGTAGGCTTGATGACAGTAAGCGGTCAACTTCTTTGCTGACACTTAAGTCTAGTGGGTAACAAATTTTCAACCCCATATAATTTACTTCTTAAATCGCAGTCTCAATCAAGAAACAAAGCTGGTGAGAACTGCTGATAAGAAACATGATGCAAGGTTTAGTTCCAAATGGTTGACTCAAGTATATTCCGCACATCCTGAGTTCACGTGAACTTAAGACTGTGGCTAACTCTTGCCTGCAAGCTGGCTCTTAGTACAGTGGAAAATATCGCACCTAGCGAAACTCGGCAGAGAACCTGCCGCAAGGAATACACTTTGTGTGATGTTTTAGCTGGTAGCCCATTTTTGCTAAGCAGACATTTTTGTGCTGAGCAGATGGCCTGTTCTTGGCACCTATTCTAATTAACCAATCAACTCAGCAGGCTTTATAAGAATTTTTAAGGGGATCAAGTGATCAAAGGGCTCAATGCTTCTTTCCAAATTGTCCTCCAAGAACCTTAATTAAAACAAGGAGGGGACAGGATGGGAAACAGTTGAAATCCTAGAGATCCGTGGGTCTTCGAAGCACATAGGCCTCAAGGGAGCTGAAACACTTAACAAGGCCCTCTACCTGAGATCAGGCCTAGGTGGTAATCCAGAGGAAGGAAAAGGCATACAGGGGGATGAGCTCTGAATATCAAGATGCCTCTTCTGAAATGACAAATGACAGGTCATTTGGTGGCTGTCACTGTGTGGCCAATAAAGTTTCAGTTTGTGGGCTCCACTTCTCCAAGAGAAGCAAGTAGGCTCAATCAGGCCAGCATATTCAGTGCCCAGAGTTCCAAGGTTAAACATTATGAAATAAGGGCTGTCAGCAGATGCATGCATCCAATTTCAGTGATTGGCTCACAAAGTAAAGACTCACAACTATTCCACCCAACATTTATCTTCAACTGAGATTCTAGGCAGTCTATGACCAATGGAGTGCTGGGGGGTAGGGACCAATGACAAATGCCATGGCAGCGGTGAAAACTAGAAAGAGGATTTGCATACATGAAGCATCACTGATGTTGTACACCTTCACTTTACAGTGCCACTGACTGTAAAGATATTAAATTTGGGTAGGTACAAATTCAGATGAAAACTAGTCACAGGTACAAAATTTGCTGCTGTAAGACAGCCGCACAAGTAATTCACTGTTCCAACAAGGGACCCATAACAGGAATGCTAAAACCTGGTGGATACAGTGCTAAGCCTGATGGCGGGAACCTAGCGAATCTGTTGGGTCCTCACTGTGTTGTAGTCAAGACCTGATACAAGACCAGACTGAAGATCAGTCCCAAGATCAGTCACAGGTCACAAGGTTGACAATAACAAAGGAATGTTTTTGCTACGGTCTATGTGAACAGCCTGTGTTGGTCTCATCATGGTCTTGTGGGATCTTGTGATGGTCTTCAGGGGGTACTGACTGTAACACTGGGGAGGCAGGGGAGGGTTTTCCTCATCTCCAGAACTTCAAATTGTCATTTGCAGAGAGCTACTGACAACAAACCTCAATGATCAGCTTTGGAAGGAAACCTGTTGACAAACTTTCTCAGGTACATGTAGGTAGAGCCTGGAGCTTGACCAAATACTACCGGGTATCGGCACACCTGTAATGCAGGAGTTCCTGACGGATTCAACATCATCATCTCCTGTGTGTGGACAGGTGACATCCTTGTCAACTTGTTGGCTTAACACAACTCAGCTCCCCTCCGTTCCCCCTTGCCGCCGATGGGAGAAATGCAATACAGGAGTTACCTGCGGGCGTAGACTTTGTGAGTTTGATTGGGGTGCAGGGGCCTGTTGGTGACTTTTTGCAATTGAGCATCCTCTGAAAAGTAATGCCATTGAAGAGGAGACCTTCTGAACCTTTTTTGGTCTACTTTGCCTCGGATCAAAGATCCCTTTGCATGCTTGTTTTCAGGGTGACCCTAAAAGTTGCTTTCAAGCAGAGGATTCAAACAATGCAAACTGTCTTTCGTCATAAAGCTGAACCCCAAAAGATTTTGCTTCAATGTCCAGACTTTGTTTCCTCATGGGAAAGGTTGAAGCCTCATTTATACAAGACAAATACTTTGGACATTTCAAGCAGGAAGGGGTGGAATCGCAAGTCAATCACCAAGTTCTTAAGGTGGCAAAAAATTCGGGCAGGAAGGAAATTTCACTCAGGAGCATTAAGAAGTGAAGCCAAAGGAGAAGAAGAGAGGGGGAGGGGGGGTTGAGGGCAGTGATCCCGATACGCTGTGCCGTCTAATAAGCGAGCCCTTCCCCACGAGGATGTGACCAATTACCACCGCAAAAAACTCGAACTTGCCGCAGAGTGGCACATGCAAGGGGGGGGGTGGGCTGAGGCCAAGGAGAGAGATTTATTCCGGGGTTTCCTAGGGGTGATAAAGTTTAAAATTATCATTACTCAACAGATAGCAGCTTCTTAGGTGCAAGACAAGCACATCACACGTTCTTGCACTTTCTTGGGGGGGGAGGGGGGAAGTCAGCTGTGCTCTTATTGACAGCCAACGCTTGTTAATCGTGACATACACAAAACAAGCGGACTTTTCATACTGTCCAAAAAGGTTGAGATTAGGACTCAATCAACCAAAGGCTTGCTTACACCATGAGAAGTTTCATGAGGACTCGGAACAGTTAGCGATAACATTTCTGGGACATTTGAAACAGGTGACGTTTCCTGAATTACAGTCAAAAAGAACAAGGGATGCTTTTGATGAACAATAGTTTTGCAGTACAGACGAAGGATGTGAACACTTGACACTGTACTACAAACACATGGCTTTTCCCACTGCAACACTTGTATGAAGGAAGCTACCATTATGCACTCAGGCATTCAAAGTACGTGGAACAATTTCCTCAACAATTCTGCCCTTTGCCAACTTTTGGAAGTTTGAAGTCCAGTGAAAGATAACTGCAACTGAAGCATAATTTTTTTCAGTTTGGGTTGACAAAATAATTCAGTGCAACTATGAAAGATACCTTTCTAGAGTATTCAAAAATGATATTTTTTTCTCCTTTACTGTATTGTACTATTAAGGTTTGCTGCAAAGGTTTTTGATCCTTCATTTTTGCAAGATGACAAACTCTTTGCAAAAAGGTAAAATAAAAAAAAAACTCTTGAAGGGAGGGGTGGATAATGCAAATGGAGCTCAACGCCCCAAGCCCCTTCCCTGAACGTGATGTATCTGTACCACTTACGTAGTGCCACTGGACAATTTGTGTACAGTCAGTTGAGGATGGAGGGCCCAGGTCAGCTGCCTTTAGTTGTCAGTGCATTACTCTGTAATATGGCTGGCTGCAAGCATTTTGGTTGGAGTTGACTGACATTAGAGGGGAATGGATCAATTTGACTACGTTGACCCTTCTCCAATAAAAAGTGATTTTTCCGAGCAGATGAACGGGGCTATAAATAGCCTACAGTTCACAATGCCAGTCAGAGTCACCAACTGGACAAAATCCGAGGACGCTTTCCCCATTTCCTCTCAGCTGTAGCTTTCCTCAAGAAGGAAAAGGTTGGATATGAAAAAAAAAAAAGTGCAGAAATGCGTCTGCCAAAAACCGCGCACTAATCGGCAACAATAATCCTCATTTGAGGCATGACTCAAACCTTAGGCAACAGCTGCCACTGATTCTTGCTGCTTGAAAGAGCAATTCCACATTCTTGGATTTCAAAGTTGGGGCTACAATTTAATATCAAGAATGACAAGTTCCTTTACATATTTCAGGTCCTTTACCTTGGTTGAGTTTTGTGAATGTATCATCAACATATACGAACCCATGAACTGGAGAATGACTGCTCGGAATGTGTTTGGCATTAGAAGGCTTCCATTACTAGTTACAATACATTTTGAAAACTTACTTACTGCAGAATGTATTACATCGATTTATTTGTACCCAAGCATGAAAAGAGTTACATAAAGTAGTTTGTCTCCAGACAGCTGGCCAGGTCCAGGAAAGTTAATAAATGTTTTAAACTTCTGAAACACATTTTCAAATGAAAAAAATATTTGTTACTGAGGCAAATGTCGGTTGCAGACTGTCGGCTGATCATGACTGCTCAAAGCTGAAATCATTCATCCCAGTTTCTCCAGGGTACAGGCTCCTGGCACTTTTCCCATTGCTATCCGGAATATGTTCCCACGATCAAACAGAATTCGGCATGTTCTTAAAATACATGTACCATCCAAAAGATGGCAAGACTGATTGACAAACCTTTGGCGGGGGCGATGATACATCGGGGACTGTCAGCCTCTTCACCAGGTTCTCATGCTGCGTCTCCAGGCTGGTCTTCCTATTAGAGAAATTAACAAGAAACAGAATAGAAATTTGATTATGAAAAGCATTTCTACGAGTCGACTTACAGAGTTTCGTCTTTTTGAAAGATGTTTGCTGATTCAAGAGGCTGCATATGAAGTTGACGTTTTTCAAAAGAAACTGAGTACAAGCGACTTACAATACAGTGCGCGTCCAAGAGGTTGCCATGGAAAGGCCATTTTCATAGTGCATGGTAGGAAATGGTTGACAAATTCAGTCTTGCAATGTCCCAATTTGTCAAAAGTTTCCCCAGGTAATCTCCTGACTAAAGCCCGCACTCAAATGCAAATTGAGGCAAGGCGGCCATGCTTTGTCGAACCCTCAACTTGGAAAATGGCCGATGTGTGGCAATCTCTTAGTGGAGGACTGTATTGTGAATCGCCACTATTAACCTCATCTCTTTGGTCACTTTTTTCTACGAACTTTCCTGATGCCTCTAAAAGCCTCCACTGTGCAGGAAACCAGTCATGCATTCCATGTAGTTCAACATTCAGGGAGTACCAAGACCCACAGCTGGGACTCTACTTTCCTCAGTGCTGCAAATTTCCTAAAATACAACTTATGGGTGGATTTCTGGTAAGGCTATAGGGTCGGTCATCACTAAAGAGGCGAGCATGTAATGTCACACAGCAAACATTCACTCTGAGTACTCAACCATAGTTGAATGCACTTCACTCCGCACACTCAACAACAGCTAAAAGAGTTTAACTATTAACTCAACAATAGTGGAATGCACTTCATTCTGTGAACATAACAAAGGTCGCACATATTTCACTCCGAAAACTCAACAACAGTTGAATATATTTTCAAGTCTTGAAAATTTTGGGGTACAATATTTCCGGGCATCAAATTTGCTTCATGAAATACGAACCTACATGAAGTGGTGCCTTAACATACCTTCTCCCCCCCCCAAAAAAATCAAAGACATTTCATAATCTGTAAAGTTTTAACAACTTGTGTGCACTTTGATTGCAGCACTCAGAAGGGAAATCATTTGGCTGCACTGGATACAGATGACAGACGAAACAGCTTTGTAGCGGGATAGAGTAGGTACCCAGTAATGAGATGGAGTTGATGAGAGACCCTGTAAAAAGACTGACTTCATCTAGAAAGTTCTGCATATCTTTTTCAGGGTTCCTCTATCAGGGTAGGGGGACCTCACATTGTTGACATTTCCATTTCATCAATCCCTGTCCGTTTCTTGGAATGAGGGTGGTGGAATCACAGACAAATAAGCATTACACATTTCAAACACACACACTTACATGTACATGTATGTCTATTAAAAACCACAATCCAAGGTTTCCAAATGTTGCTGCTGTAAATCTGGTTCTAAAGCCACCTTTTCATAAACTCTAAAATTGTTGAACAGTTGAGACTTTTCCTGATTATTGACTCCCACAAAAGCTGGTTCAAGGAGATCCTCTCAGCTCAAAGTCAAGGAAGGTTAACATCAATTAAGGCTTCTGAAGCTCACGTACAACCTCCCAAATCGAATTAGAAATTGCTTGCTACCAAAACAAACCCTAAAATCTTATATTCTAATATCGAGCCTGATGCAAATCCCTAAATATAGCAGACGCTGCTCATGGGCACGACGGCCTTTGCTGCTGAGAGTGCTGCATTGGCAAAAAAATTTGGAAACCCACCAACTTCCAAATTATGAAAGGGGAGGTACAGAAGAAATGCCTATTTGTACCAATTTTGAGTGCTATTTTGGGAGCGCGAGAAACAACTAAAAACTGATGATTCATTTGTCTATAAATACTCCAATTAAAGGTTGGCAAGTGAAACTGCATCCTCGTCGTCAATAGGTAGGCAAGTGGGCGTTGCCTCACAGGTGTTTCAAACTTTTTTTTTTCTCCAAGTACTGAAAAAAAGCAAACTACACGAGCAATATTTCCAATGATCAAAAGATGTGGACAGAAAGCAGAATTTTGGGGACTTATCTTGAGAACAGACGGCGGAAGACTAACTTTGTTTTATTTGGGCAAATAGCAAGATGTACATAAATAAAAACAATTCCTGAATTTACAGAAACTTAACTATTCAAATACCATTTGAATCAACTCAGCACTGCTCCCGTATGTTGGCCCACAGTACTGCACACCCATAAAATAACAGGCCTTAAGGATTTCTGTCCCTCACACTGAAAAAAAATGTAAATGAATGTCCAACTTGGAAGGAGACAAGGCATAAATCCCAGGCATATTCCCTCAGGAAACTCACAAATTGATTCCAAATCTCCTACACAAGGGAGACTAGGGCAGACCGAAAACATAAAGACAGTATCCGAGTGACAGTGAAGTCAATAACTCGGCCTAGACACTACTCGAGCCTTTGAGGAAGCATAGGACAAGCCCACATTTTCCAGCCACTGCTGAAATTAATCATCCTTCATATCTGCAGCTTGTTTGGTCATGGCCATTTTGTTAAATGGGGGGGGGGCCAATATAAGCCAAGTTCTCCAGTTAGTAGGAATAATGTATGACATAATGTACAATTTAAAGGTTGAAAATGAAAAAATCATTTTAACAGTGCTTTTAATATGGGAAAAGGTTGACATCCACATGCCGTTTGTATTCCTTCAGCAAAAGGACTTGGCCAATTTGTTATTTTTGCTTTTAGCTTTTTGGGTGTGCACAATTAAGGTGGGATCTTTAAAGCATGAATAAAGTGCATTATTTAATGAGGCATGCGAATGCATAATGGTATGACCCATGATGATGAATGCAGGCTAATTAATGACTTCATGCCATGACGTCGAAACACTATTTGTTGTAAATGCTCTGTGGCCAGTAGTATTTTAAGGACACTTTACCTGTTCATCAACCGGCTGGTACTTCCACTGACACTTTACCTGTTCATCAACTGGCTGGTACTTTCACTGAAAGTTAGGCTCAGAAATCAATTTTGATTTACAGTGAGATGTCTCTAGAGCTGATTATCTGTGTGTGTGCTTCACTCAGAACTTGAGAGACAAATATTGTTAAGTTCTCAGAGCTCAACAACAGCACAGGGTTCCAGTTAGTGGGTCCAAAGGCTAGGATTCCCCTATCTACCCAGAAGGGAGGAGGGAGGGAGTGAGGGAAGAAGACGGCAGAAGTCTTCATGATGGGACAGGTCAGCTATGCGGAGGAAACCCAATCCTTTCCCTCTGAAATACACTGAGAGTTAGAATATTCCCACACTGATGTGGTCTGAAGTCAGCAAATTTTGGACACAAACCATGCAGGGCCAACACCCAACTGAGAACCACATCCAATCTTGTTTAACAAAGAGCAACATGTCGCCATTGTCCACTACACATTGAAGGACAATACACAAATCCCTATAAACTCCTAGTCTAGGTCCAAGCTGCTTTACTGATGAAATAGCAGCTACTTAGCTGAAAAGTAAACAGCAGATGGAGTAATCCCCCACCCCTTTGGAAGTGGGTGGGGCATTTTCGTGGTACGTGAATACGTGTATGCAGGATAAAGTGCATGGGCACAAAGGGAGGAAGGCAATTCTAGGAAAACAGAGGGGTACATAGGCTGCGGATGGCAGGAACATAAAGATGGATGAGGAATTTGATAGACAAAGGCAACCTGGGACACAGGTTGAGTTTGTAACCGGGAACAGTCTTCACATGCAGCCTGTGAAAAGGAACACTGGAGCTGAGGTATATGGATGGCAGATCCAGTGAAAGGTATACAAGTACATGTAGTTATGAACAGTGTCCGAACTGGCAGAATTTAAGATGGCAAAAGAAGGCAGGGAGGTAAGCATTTAACCCTCTGAAGTTGGAAGGACTGGCCATATGAGTTCAGGTGTAGGACACATGCCAAGGGAGTCCACATACAGGTACACAACAGAAATGATGATGGCCATCTCACTTTGTCTTCTGAGAGTGACATCTTCTCAACTGTTACATGTACATTGTGTTTGCTGTGTGACACAACACTTCTCATTCTGCAAAGGGATCTATATTTCCAGAGAATTTAATGTTCAGTCTAAACCTACTCACAACCAGTACATACTTCAAAAATGTCCCAGTCAACATATAAAATGTACATTTGTATGTCAATGCTGCTGTCTGAAGAAATATGTGTCCACTCAAAATGAAGGTGCATACCATTTCTGACAGGTCGCAAATATAAACTTCAGGATGAACAGACACGTCAAATGAAAATGAATGGTAACAAAATTCAATAACAGGTCAATTATTTTGAATCAGATGGCACCATGTACTTCCACCGCAGCCAGAATTTCAAAGCTACATAACTGACACACTAAAAAAGAAAAACTATTTAAGGAAATGATCTCACAAGGGTTCACAAAGTTACCACACACTACTACCATCACTTCAGTGCATTGTGGCATGTACATATCTGCAATATATGGCCTTCTGAACACAAGCTATTCAAGTCACTCTGAAGGTACACACACGTACAGTACATGTACGAACATATGAAAGTTGAGCATTCCTTTCCATATGGTGAATAAGCTACATTCGATCATTACCTTTTCTGGAACAAGCTCCGAGGAAACATTCTGCTGCCTGGCTCCATCCTCCAACACTAACTACGTAGTGCTGCCCTATTCTTCATTATTACAAGCATCCTGTCGATAATTCGTACATGTTCATGCCTCCCTTCCACCCCCAAAAATAGGGGAAAAAGTGTACCCTTTGTCACATCTATTATAGGCACCGAAGATCTGAGCCAAAGAACATGTGTTGTCATCTGTACAGGCCCATGGTTGTTGGCTGGCACTGCTGAACAAGAGACCACTTGGCATCATCGGCCTCTATTCTATATGTGCATCCACCCACTTAATGGACCACAAAAGAGAGGACAGCTAGAAATGGGGGGGGGGGATTGGGGATACTGAATGACACAAGTGCAAACAATCATGGTCAGTCATCAAGATCCACTCCTTTTGTGGTTATTTGTAAACCAGATGGGTCGTGGCTGGCCAAAGCTCAGCCTGGTG